CCACACGAAGTTTGCAGTATCGACAGCTATCTCCTTTGTGGAAGAAGACCTTGAATTGATTGAGTCTTGGTTGGAGAGTTTTCTCCAGCTTGGCCATCACCTCAGGATGCTGCTTGTTTAAATGCTGTTTGGCTCCTTTCTGGCCTACGAGGACCTGACCACAGAGTGCGCAGTGTTCCATCAGGTAATCATGGAACGCCGGATTTCGAGCGGCGCCTTCTGGATTGTCCTGGGCATCAGACTGTAGACTTTCTACGAGTGAGATCCGGTTCTGTGCTTCTAAGGGTAGCTCTTCCTGCTGTCTAAGCAAAAGCTCTACCCTAGGGCAGGTAGATGCTTCGACATGTTTGCGCAGATAAAACACTGTTCGGAATGTTGCTCGACAGGCGATGCAAGTTGCTGACCCTGGCATTGAATGCAAAATAGGATCAAATTTGGGTCCTTTCAGGCACTGCTGAGAATCTGGGTGAGCCTTCTGCAGGTGGCGACGGAGTGCTCCGGTGCCAGAGAGACATGCTCCACATTCTCCGCAGGTCAGAAGCCTATCCTCCACATGGCGCGAGGAGAAGTCCGTGGAGAGGCCTTCCAGTGCCTGGCTAACTGCCTCAGCACGCAACTTATAGTGTGGGACGGAGTGTTGCTGTCTCTTTATAAACTGGGTCATTCTCTTTTGCAGCTGCTCCTTCACGTGAGGAACCCGTAATCTCCGGAGTAACTCCTGGTTTGATTCCTTCGTTTCCTGGGAGTAACTCCGCAGGACGAATCTGAGTTGGTACATCATGTGTGAATGGAGCTTTTGCAATCCCTGCTGTGTCATCCCCACCACGTGGAGTGCATACAGAGCAGAGGCCCACGCAGTTATTGTCCAAATCGACAGACGACGTCTGTCTGATAAGACTCGGTGGTTCCGAACTGCATGGGCTACTTCTGACATTGCAAGCTTACTGGATGACAGCCGATGTTTGAGAGTCTTCATTTCATAGTCGTGATAAGAAAGAATGACCCCCAAGTATGGGACCTGATAGCGCAGCGATATCAGCCTGCCCGAAGGGAGTTCAACATACTTCTCTCCCTCGACCTGGCGAAAGAGTTTCTTCCTAATGGTCGAGGCTGAGCCCCCTTGCAGCTGTAGCAGAATTGCTGACTTGGACGGATTGACCTTGAACCCAAGCTCTACCAGCTGATCCAGAAGCAGGTCGCAGTACCCTAGTGCTGTCATGAGGCCGGCCTCAGAGTCGAAATGCGACTGGATCAAGCTATCGTCAGCGTACATTGTGAGGAGCTTCACTAGTTCTGCTGGGCTGATTTTCCCAGAGAGCTTCCTAAAGAGAAGCCCTGATGCAAAGGCGAATAAAGAGGGTGCTAGCTTACATCCCTGCTTGATTCCCCTGCGTGTGGCTATCTCAAAGCTCTGATCGCTGGCTGTCATCTTGTACAAGGCTTTGATGTGGAGATGGCCTACCACCTCTATCAGAAGAGGATCTGCTTGTTCGGCTTCCAGGGCCTCTCTTAATCGCAGCCTGTTTACAGTGTCAAAAGCTTTGCTCATGTCCACGCTCATGGTGAGACTGCCTCTGAGCTTGAGCCCCTGTTGTCCCTTACCTGCAGCCCTAGTGGTGAGGGCCTGTCTGAACCTGGCCTGGTCCACATGTGTGAGGGCCTTGCAGATAGCCTCCTCTGTGCCCCTGCCTGGGACAAAGCCGAACTGAGAGACGCCGGTCATTGCTAGCTGGAGGGTAGACTTGAGTCTCTTCCTCACGAGTCCGGCTAGGACCTTACCCTCAGGTGCTATCACCCCGATCGGACGGAGTGAGGTTGGTTTGTCTGGCTTCTTGGGAGGCTTTGGGAGCCAGGAGATCTGTGACGAGGTGACACTGTCCGAGAGCCTTCCTGCAGTGACTTCCCTATTAAGGGTGTCCGAGATTAGCCGGATTGCTTGGGGACCTAGGGAGCGCCAGGCTACTACGGGAGGACTCTCTTTAGGAACCGCCTTGCCCAGCTTTATTGTGCCAAGCTGTTCTTGCACTTCTTGCTCAGTGATGTGCAGGCTGCCTTGTATCCCTGAAAGCGGGAAGTCATCCCCTGCTCCAAACAGGTCTAGGGAATATTCCTCTAATTGTCTTCTTTCTTCCTTGGCAGTAAGGAAGCGACCCTCAGAATCACGAAGCTGAACTCTTTCCTGGGGCCTCCCCGACCTGAAGCGCTTGATTACCTTGTAAAGGGAATGACTCCCGTCCTGCTTGGACTTAAGCTCTGCCTGCTGGAGTTGTTCATCTATTTCCTGCCGCCGCCGCTCCTGCTTGTGACGCTTTGCTACCCTCGCCTGTGCACTTTGCTGGGAGAACGAGCACCAGCATCGGAACACCATACGGACCTGCAGCTCGGGCAAGAACTCTGCTAAGACCTTGACTGCTAGTGGGAGTGAGCGCAACACAGAGCGCTCTTCCCAGATGCTGAGATCTGATCTTTGTGCTGCTTCCTTTCTCTTGGGAAAGTGAGTCGCGAGGGCTGAGTTCATTGCTTGATGGAGACTCTGCCAGGTTTGGGGATGATCCTGAAGGAGGGAGTCTACCTCCCTGGCAAATGCCTGTATTTTCGGGGAACGGTGTCTGTAGCAGTCCTCCATTGCCTGCTGGTCATAGGGTTTTGAGGCTTGGGCGGAGTATCTCCTGCTGTGCCTCAGTTTACCAAGAAGGGGGAAATGCCTACTACCATCCCTCCAGGATGCAACTGGGAAGGTCCTTAGTGGCCGGCAAAACCTGGCAGGGCCTTGGGACTGTGCAATCCTGACAAACGAGAAGTCAATCTGTGAAACAGAGTTGCCTTGTTCGTGGGTGGCTGGTCTATGCACTCCCCAAGTGTTGGTTGCGACTAGCTGGTGCTCCGACAGTAGGGTCTGGAGATCCTTAGATCCGCGATGCCCGAGTCTGCAAGCCTGGATCGTGCATGGCCCTACGTGTTTGTTGTCGGTTTTGAGCGAGGAGTTAAAATCTCCTAGCACAAGGAGAGTGTTGCGATTGGGAACAGCTCGGATGGACTTACTTAGGGCGTGAAGGGTCTGCTTCCGGGTTTCCTTATTCTGAGCGACTGTCTCCTTAGAGCGCCAAACGTATTGATAGCAGCTGAAGACGTCCAGTGAGATGCCGTTGCTCGGCACCCGGACCTGGAGAACTCTTCCTGGAACAACCTCGTTGTAGCGAAGATCCTGTGACTTGCACAGCGTGGAGTGCACCATTATGAGGACCCCGGCTCCCTTCTCCCCTGTGGAACCAGAGCTGATCACGTGCCAGCCTGACTTGCTGAATTGCCAAGAGCCCCTCCAGTGTGTTTCCTGAATTGCTACCAGCTTCACATCCTGAAATGCGGCACTTTGCAGTACGGAGAGTAACTCTTCCCAAACTGCTGTTGTGAGAGATCCTGCGTTCCAGGATAGATAGCTGAGATTCTTATCTTCTGTAAATTTCGAAGGCCGAGTCCTTCTGCCGGGATTGGTGGGCTTTACATGTGCCGGAGCAACTCCAAGCTCTGTTGACGACATCGTCCTTCCCTTGTAGACCGCACTACCTTCAAGCAGAGCTTTACGTGCTGCCCTTTGATAAGAGCGTTTACCCTTCCCTTTAGGAACGGGCTGATGCTTGGTCGAACCACTAGGCTGTTTCGCAGCACTCATGTTGAGTACGGCTCCTGTCGGCTTCGCAATACCGACAACCCTCACCTCTGGGAGATGTTAGAGAGCTGTAAATCTAATACTCCCTCCCGGACTTGGGACCGGGACTGCTCAGGCGCTGACAAATGCCATGGCAAGAAAGGAAAAAGGCAACTGTACTAGCCTGACCTTTCCTGAGCCGAGAGGCTTACAACCACAACAACAACAACAACAACAACAACAACAACACAGTGCCTGTGGATGCCTGTGATGTATACTGTTTGGTGTGTATTTTCAATGGATTTCGTCTGTATTTCAATGGATTTGGTATGCATTTCAATGGATTTCGATGGATTTCGTATGTATTTCAATGGATTTGGTGTGTATTTCAGTGGATTTAATGTGTATTTCAGTGAGTTTGGTGCGTATTTCAGTGAATTTGGTGTGTATTTGGTGTGTATTTCAATGATTTTGGTGTGTATTTTCAATGGATTTGGTGTGTATTTCAGTTCCCCGCTGTGCAGATTATGCATTTGCAAGGCCTGTACAAACTATTGTATAGTAACTGGTAGCTATAGTTTTGAGTGTACGGGTATCCAATGCAAACCCCTCAAAATTCCGGACAAGCCCTTCCAACACCCATCAGAACCCCTTCTGGATATCGCAAATTCCTATACCTGTGGTGGAAATGTGGTGTAATGTGGGCGGTTGTTGTAAAGGGGGGGGGGTCACAAAAACAGACGGGGCTCCAGTTTTTGCCTTTACTATAGGGGGTAGAGACAAAGTCCTGATTTCGCTGGTGCCTTTGTCTCTACCCCCTGTAGGAGAGGCAAAAACTGGAGCCCCGTCTGTTGTTTTGACCCCCCAGCCTACACCGCATTTCTATCATGAGGCAGTTGCTATGTAAACCATGGCTTGCACTTCCCAAAACTCTACAGGCACCCTATGCGGTCGCCGGAAGCATTCCCAATTGCTTCTAATTAACAACAAGTACGGGCTGCTCTTTTTGTCTGTACCAACAACAACAACAACAACAACCAGACCCACAACCACATACAACCACAACCACTACCACAACCACAACCGCCACGACAAACACAACAACCAGAACAACCACGACCACTACGACTACAACAGCAACATCATCAGCAGCAGCAGCATTGTGATCGTCATGATCGTCATCCTCGTTGACATCAACATCAAAACAACGTCAACAAAATCACCGCCCCTTACCAACATTACACGCATCACAGTCGTCTCTTCGCCATTAGCTTGTATCCTGAGTCAGTTGATTAGGCATCCCGTATGAGCATGACCCTACACCACACTGTTGCTAGTCGTTGCACCGACTTGCCTGCACCGCGGCCTTCATCAACTGGGCATGCAGCAGGCGCGTTGTCGACCGTGGTGCACGGAACGGCGCCTTTCGAGTTGCAACTAACTCAGGCTCTTGGGACTTGGGGCTTGGGTCAGTTGCACTTCGAGGCTGTGCCCAAGCATCAGCTTGGCCGAAAAGCCGAAAACAAGAAAGTGGAGTCCAGCTGCATCAGAGTTACCAAAGATACTCGGCCTGCACTACACTTAGTTTGGGAGGCTAAGCAGTCTCTCGATGAAGAGTTACTTTGCATGGGAGCACTCGACGTTGGATTCTTGGCATATGGTGTAGTGTCATGGGATGTCAGCTTTGGAGAGATTCAGAGTTTGTGTTCCAACGATCTGCGGTTTTGATGCAGAGCAGTTGCGTGGCGAAGCGGAACGTCCAACTGAGCACACTTCCCACACCGGTTCCGAGACATGCTTCACTAGCTCGTCACTAATGAATGGCTACTGGGTCCGGTCGAATCCGGATGGATAGAAGCTCTCACTAAGAAGCCAACTCCAGCACAAGGAACAATTACTGGGATCGAGGCGGCAACGGAAGCCCCGGAGACATGCTGCGGACCTTAGGGTCAGTGGTGATGCCAGCTTGTTTTTGGTCGGCTCCCCTCCCAGCAACCAAACAAAAAAAATGCTGGCCACCGTGACACATGCCCTGGTTTGCCATACTTTGGATCGATGACCGTCCCCAAAAGAATGAAACGTACTTCCACATCAAGTGATGCAACTACAGGCGACAAGAACATGCTATATAACTGCATTATGCGTTCATCATGCCATCATCTGGTTACAGAGCTTTTGTACCGGCATCTGCGGCCGCAAGCCATCAGGTGTTGGATCCCTGCAACAACTGGGCACTCAATTTGACACCTGCGCATCATCGCCTGCATGCTTGGACATGGAGGATGCTGTTGCAAATTTGCCAGACTAGACTCCAGGCGGCGCTTCGTGTCCCATCGGTGCAACAAGTCAAAACTCAAGGATCTCGCCTGGACACTCAAAAGGACCTCACTGTTTGTCGAGGTCGTCTGCTGATTCCCAACAGACTCGCTTGGCTCCAGGAGAATCTTGTGCCGCTCCAGACGGAACTCACCACCTTGAGCTGTGACGGCTCTTCGCTTCGTTGAGACTTGCTGCCTGGGAGTCTTCGGATTTTCATGAAGTGTGTTGTGAGGGTATAACAGAAATATAAACCTGGAAATTCCTCGGGTCAAGATTCGAGACCACACAAGAATCCCAACTTGGTTCTAACCGTACAGGCGAGCACAGACACAAAATCACTCGTGCACACACGCGCACACGCGCACGCACACACGCATGCATGCACGCGCACACACACACACACACAAACACGCCAACACACCAACACACACACACACAGAGACACCCACACACACACACACAGACACACACACGCATTTGCGCCACGCGCGCGCACGCACGGGCACACTCACACTCAAGTGCATCGTGATCTCAGAACCTCCACTTGACTCCTCTGCCAAGAAAACCCGACATGCACTTGTCAATGGCACTGGGTTGGAGTTGACACCAGGCTTGCCGGAGAAGTTCTTCGAAGCTTTAACAAGAATGCACAGTCCCACTCTGACGCACCTTGCTTCAGCCGCTTCTGAAGTCCATCTGCCGGAGTCGCCTTTCAAGCATGTGGGATTCCCTTCTCCGTGCAGCCAGGTGTTTCTTGTAGAGACGGGCTAATTCATGGAGAGTCCACAGCTGAATGTTCGCGCAGGAGCCATTTACCGCGCATCAGGTTCGTTCGCAACGCCAAAATCCCAAACATTCGAGTCGGTGAACTCTACGCTCGAAGACCTTGTACGCTAAAGCTGCGAACCTTGACTCCGGAATCTTCATCACGTTGATGCGATGCCTCCAGTCGCTGCCCAACCTCATCTAGGAGGACGGCGCTACCACGGGCGAAGTGCAACCGGCCCTCACGCCAGACCTTTGCCAGGCTGAATCCCTGGTTAACTCTTGTTCTCGGTATTGGGCAGGTTTTGGTTCACCGACCGGCTTCCTTCAGAAACACACAGAACGCGGATGTAGACAAGGCAAAAGCTTGAACCATGCAGCACCTTCAATCCGAAGAAACTCTACAGAAACTCCAGTCACCTCGAACAACTTCATCCTCAGCCCAGTAGCCTTGAAACTCCGAGAATTAGCGCGCACCCAAGCATGTGGAAAACCTGCACTTTTGCAAGGATGTTTATTTGCTTCTTGAATAAGACCAGACATCCCGAGCGGTGAAGCCGCTCTGCCTTTCAAAAAGGCCAATGGCTAACATAGCTGAACTTGACAATGAAGTAGGTGCCACGTCTTCGGGCAAAAGGGCGTGGCAACTCTTCGAAATGTCCGAGAGACAGTTTGGGGGGTCGTTCTGATGATCCCATTCCAGGCCATGAAACCGGTTTCTTCCGTGCGATTTGTGCCGTGAAGAGCACCGGCACTGCTTCAGACAACCTCAGTCCAGCAGCAAAACTGGACTTGAAGCTTTGAGATTCTGGCCTTTGAGGTTTCTGGTGTGGTTTGACAGGGAAGTCAGGATGCCTGTTTCGAGCTGCCCATGACATCTCATGAAGCTGACAGCTTTCGGAAGCTTTCGGTCTCCGGTTGTGGTCACACGGCACTGTTTGCCCAATGTAAAGGTTGATGCGGCTAACGGTTGTGCCCCATATTGTCCCACGTAAACTGTACCACCATGAGTCCATGAGGCTCACTTCTGCAGGTAGGCGCATCACAAAGGCAGGCTTTCTGTAACCGAACAATTCAACAACCTCCAGGCAACTTGCATGATTTCAGCAAATTCGAGCAGTTCTATGAAGCGGGCTGCCGAGCTGCATGTCAACCATCCTGTCAGTGACAACATGATGAACAACACAGCCGTGAAGTCTTTCTGGACACACGATGCTTTCAGTTTCGCAAACGAACTAGAGTCCGAACGTTCACTCTGGATGATAGCTTCGAAACCACCGTGGTCCGGCCTAGCACGCTTTCGAAGCAAACAGCGGGAGCATGAATCGCTTCAACCTAAAACTGCGGCGGCACACCTCGGCTTAACATTGCATCTAAACCCCGGTCACTGAATTTGGACAAAAACGATGAGTTCATGCACAGAAGTCATGAGTGTGCTTCATGATTCTTTTCTGACTCGAAATCTGACGAAGCCTTATCTGCCGCACCAGACTGGGCAGATGATGTTTGCAAAAACAACCATACAATCTTCATGCGCACATGTGCGAAACAGTACGACGCAAGCCTCCAGACGAAGAACTGATCACCCATCTAAACTCCAAGTCCGAACCGAATTGACAAGACGGGGCAATTAATGCTATCTTTTTCACGCCTTCCGCTGTCACCTCACTGGATCGCTCCCTCTCTCTCTGCACGCTGCCTGAACGTTGCCCAGCACGGACGAAAAAAAAGCAGATCCTAGCTTTGAAAAGTAAAGTCGTAAGCCCCTAGGTCCATGACCACATCGGCTTTCAAACTGAAAGGCGATGCTAGCACCGCACTGCCTCCGCTTTGAGGTGTTCGATGACCTATTCGATGACGTTAAAATAATGACCTCACTGGATGCCTCAGGTTTCTACACACTTTCATGCCGTGTGGAATAAATCAAGAACTACATCCAATCCGAACCACAACGACTCTATGTCTGACATGTTTCTGTCCTAAGCAAAATACCAAACAAATCCAATGATCACATGACAATCGCTCGACCTGTTCTTCAAGCCTTGGGCCTTTGCATGCTTTGATTCAGAAAAATTGGTTTGCTGTTCAACCACGCAAATAGGATGTGTGCAAGCAATTGCAAGCGTTTTCGAGCTACAGAAGAGAATCGATTCCAGTCCAATGCCCCGAACAAAAAAACGGATTCCAAACTTACTTGCGGTTTATGTTCGCAATATCTCAGAAAATTTTGAACGCACGTCTTCGTGCATATTCTGCACTGGATCCACATTAAACTTTGCAAAAGGTTCCTGGAAGACTTCGGTGACACTCAAGCGTCGCGCTACCTAGTGGTATATCGTGGGGTTCTGCAGGAAGTTTCGCTGCTGAAGGCTTGATGCAAAGTGCCAAACGACGTTCTACAAGGAATGTCTGGCTACACACTGGCGCAGATTCACAAACACAGGAACAGTCTAACAACGCACAAAAACATAAACGAACAAGCTTTTTTCACTTCACTTCAAGCGCAGCACTCGGTGCGACTAGTCCCATCGTAGAGACAAAGAGCAGTGCTAAGCGACCTGTTAGCAGGACAGGTTCCTGGTGACTACCACCTGGCCTAGTGCCAGCAACACTGCAGGTCCGCTCCGAAGAGCCATTAAGCAACCTACAGATAAGCCCTCGAAAGAGAGGCGCGTGAAAAGTGTATTCAAAAAGTTTAGGACAGGCGCGGGTACACCGCAATCCCATCCTGATGAAGATTAGATGCCCGGCGTGGTAGCACCACAATCCAGAGCATATCGCGAAGGCACGAATCACATGCGAGCATAAAAGACGATATAAACATTGTGAGCGATCTCCTGGAAGTCAGCTTCTCTGCAGACGAGCACAGCTTCAGCATTGTCATTCGTGTAGTACCATCGTCTGTCACCCCTCACCAGGACAGAGCGATAGTGCCCTGTATGCATCGACTCCCCTAAATGAACAACCATGGCTTGAAGGCGGAAACTAGTTTGAACCACTTCGGTACCACACCACATTGGAAGCATGATTTCATGTGGAGTCAAGGCAGGGTAGAGGACTTTCGTGGCAGTGCCCTGCACTAGCCTAAAGCGGTTCAGATGTAGCGCGCATGCTTGGGCACCTGCTGCAAGTGCATGAGTGTGTTCCTGATGCTGCCACTGCGTCACTATGTCTTGCAGTGAGACCTCCGCACCCAGGCGGCTGCCTGCAGTGTCTGAGGCGGTTACTTGCACAGCTGTGAGCGCGAGCGGGCAAGAGGTGCCTGCATCGACACACCCTCCATGCTCCCGGTGAAAAGCAAGCCAATCCTTACGAAAACAACCCGCCTTTAGTTGATCATTCAGCATGAGCAAGAAGTCAGCAGCATCGTGCTGCCTGCTCGGTGCCGACCAGGCCCTGAAGGCCTGTCGCCACTGGATATGACTCCACAGGTGAACAGGCCGAACGGAGGACAGAGCGGCCTGTAGCAGCTGAAGGACAGCCTGATGCTTCACTGCCTGCTGAATGGGTGCAACAGCAGTGGCCGTCCACAGGTATGCAAGAAGACAGGAGTGGGAGTAGCAGAAATTGGAGGGATTATGCAGCCTTAGTTGCAACAGACGCTTTCGTGCTGCCTCGTCAGCTGCTGCGCAAGCGCCTGGGCGAGTGGCGTGCGCTGGAGACGCTCCTCGCGGACGGCCCCTCCAATCAGCTTCATCGATGCATTGCCCTTCAGGATGGACAAGATCTCCCAAATGCGATTGCATCCGGCATCTCGCAATCCCACTTCCATGAGCCACGTGGTCATGGTGCCCTTCATCTCCTCCGTCAGGGGGCGCGTGCAGTGGTACCGCGTGATGACGCCATTGCCCGCCGCCAGCTTCATCAACTCGGCCGTCAGCGCCAGCACCTTGTCCAGCGGCAGCGGGTCCCTGGTCTCGTCGGTCTGAGCTTTCTGTTCCTTGGGGTTCCAGATCTGGTACGGGAAGCCCTTGGCCTCGTCGTAGATGCCCATGTCTACGGCCGTCTGCTTGGCGTCCTCCTTGGTGCGAATGTTCTCTGCGCGCGTGTACATCTCCTTCCAGGTAGCCTGAAAGAGTATCACTCTCATCGGGTTCTTCAAAGAGGCAGGATCGTTGAGCTTCTGATGGCGCCACTGCGTCGCAGTTGCGTAGAGCGTCTCGATGATCTCCACCGGCTTCTCTGCCGAGAGGAAGAACACCCATGCTGTCGACAACCTGAACGTGGCCAACTGGTCCTCGTGGCGGAGCAGCAACTTGATGAGCATCTGGATGGTCTCTGGGGACAGCACCAAGCCAGTGGAGGATGTTCCTGTCTCCCGTGCTGCCTGATTTCCGCGAGGCTGGTATTGGCGCTTCAGCCTGCCATTCGCTCCTCTGCCCTTCCCATCCGGACCTTTGTTCAAGTCTTTGGAGTACTTCGCCGGGCGCTCCTCGGCTTCTTGGCCAGTACCTGTGAAGCCCAACTGGGTTCCCAGAAGGCTGCTCTGCAAGCCCCCACTCTGACGTAGGTTGGACGCGAGCATGCTCAGCTCCATGGTGGCCTCCGCAAGGTCCTGCTTCGCCTGCTCTTCGGGACTGAGCGTCATGCGCCTGGGCAGAACAAGTGATGGTATCATGCTGCTGCGTCGTCAGCATACGTGCAAATAGTATGGATTTACACTCCGTGGCATGCCGAGTTGAATGGCCTCTGTAGGCTCTGCAGCAGTAGCGACAGGGGGAACTCAGGACTAAGGCCTTCCGCTGCTGAAACTGCCACAACTTGGCCTGCATAAAACACTTTTCCAGCCAAGGATGCTTAGCAGATATGTGAATGTGCAATGCCTTCGTGTCTACAATCCACTGCGTACACCACGGGCAATGATGTAGCCACTTTTCACCCTGTGAGGCAATCCATTTGGCACCAAGCTCCCAACCATGTCGAAATTTTTGGAGGCATGCCGTATCGTAGGCAGCAGGGACAGAGTTAGGATTGTGAGTAGGGACTTGGATAGTGAGACCATCTGGAAACAATACTCTGCACGAGCGTGAAGTAATGTGCAGATTAAGATCCTGCCACGTTTTGCACTGCCTGCGACAATGGACACAAGTTGACATACCTCCAAGGGCATGCATGTAAACAAATTGGGTGTGAGCATCAGTTCCCTGTAGGGTGCTGGGCATGACCGTATGAACTGTCGTTCGCTGCGTAACATCAGAATACATGTCAAGGATCAGCTCTTGCAGAGGGTCGAGCTCCACCTCCCCTTTGTTCCTCATGTGCTCCTTTGTGACGTGTGTCTTCATCGTGTACAGTGAAGCAAACTCTATGCCACACACAGGACAGCACACTGCACGAAAGTGATGAACACTGTTGACGGGGTGCAGTAAGGCCCTTTCAATCTTATTACCCTCACGCTGGCTGCTGGGAATCTGCTCATACGAATGCGCAACACAGGTTAGCCAGTTCTGCAAGTGGGCGGTGTTGAACAGCCGGGGAAGTTGGTTTCTAACTTCGAGGTCTTTCTGCAGCATGGACCACGGGTCTGGCACATGGCAAGTGTGTCTGACCTGCTCGGCAGTAGTGCGGCGAAGATGTGCTGGGGACTTCAGGATCAGACGCAACTGTTTGTTGACCATAGTGGTGACTAGAGCGCGACCTTGCGTCGGCTGCCCCACACTGACTAGAGAGTAGCGCAACGCACTGAACACGCAGGCCTTCCACAGTCGAATTTTCGTGTGGAGCCGAAGAGCTCGACTGCGCAAAATGGAGTGCAGGCGCCAGAAAGTACCCCACGCTATCCGCATCCTATGCTGGAGATTTGAGAGTTCGAAGTTGTGATATCCGATGCAAGCACCGAGATAGACATGGGTACTCTTGACCTGGATCCGGATTCTACGCTGAAAGACACGAAGCTGCAGCACTTTGTTTCCGTCACTATCCTTACGACACACCTTCGCAACCTGGGATTGCGCAGCCCCGCCTCGCAAGCACATAAGCGCAACGGTCTTGTCAAGACTGAGACTGAGGCCCGCTCGTTCGAGGGTCTCAATCAAAATGCCCATGGCCCGAATTGCACATGGCAGATCAGCCAATTTGCGAATTGTCCAAGCTGCAAACACATCATCCGCGTACAGCGTTGGCTCCCCCAAGGGAACCTGAGCCTGTTGAAGATTGC